CCAATAAACAGATAAATAGCAGAGGAGAGTGAGAGAGGGGGGGGGGGAGAAAAAAGAAGGAAATAACCTATTCAGGTGCTTTTTTTTTTTTCTTCTGTTCTTTCAGTATTTTCATCCTTTAATATGGATTAGTTGAATTTCGAGTGAAAAAGACGATTAAACTTTAACTGAAACTGCAATAAAATAATTAAATTTTGAAGGACAACGGCTAACAGAATTGTAAAAAAAAAAAAAAGTTCTATATTTTTTCAACGTTTTTTTGTTGTTTTCTTTTGTACACCAAACAAAATATGTGGTCATCAGATTGCATGGAACATTTTAGACAAACGGTACATTGTCAAGCATTTGGTGTTACAATTGGAATAACCTAATAATGTTTCAAATTTGTTGGCCGTATTCAACAAAATAGAAAAAAAAAAAGAATTTGTTTTTTTTTTCAATTTTATACAGTTATATTTCATTGTAAAAAAAAAATTTTTTTTTCTTCTTTTTTCTCCCCTTTTCACTCCTCACAACTCCCCTCAACTACAGCTTCAAATCTACTGAAACATTCATTTGTGTCCTCACCCCCCCTCCCCCCCTTCCCCCTTCGATTCTTATTAACAATGAAAAATGTTTAGCAGCACAAAACTGTCAAACAATTTATTTGCTTATTAATCTGTAGAAAAGGTAAACAAAAAAAAAGCAAAAAAATTTGATTTGTAGAGAAAAGAAAGATCAATTTGCTAAAGATTATTACAGCTCAATGATTATACAGCAAACCAACAAATTCTATTCTGAACAGTGTAGCATTCTTTAAATGAAAAAAAAAAAAACTGACTTAATTCCAACTACAGATTTTTCCCAAATTTATTAACACTCCAAATCAGTGATGTTAAAGTCAAAAATTTTAGGTAATTATTGTAGAAAAAAAAAAAGAAAAAAAAGTATAAAATGGTTAGATAAAAAGAAACTAAATTAGTTTATTCAAAGAATGGCATTTGTCAGCTACAGACTTTTTCTTTTGCACTTCTTCTTTCATTGAATAATTTAAATTAATTATTATTCAAGTTTTCCTTTAATTTTTTTTTTTTGTTCTTCTTAGAAGTCAACTTTGTTTTGCAGTGTTTATATTAATTCTGAACAGACAGTGGTGAATAAACTGTGAAGAAAATTTCTTATTAATTTGACAAGAATAATTTATCTGTTATAACAGTTTGTGCTCAATGAATACTCAACAAACAACTGCTTCAGAGAAGTTGCAAAAAAAAAAAAACAGGAGACAAAAATTTTCTTGTTTTGACCAAAGAATTTTATAAACACTGAAAAATAAATTGATTAACTAAAAAACAACGAGTATTGTAAAGTACTGTTTTGTCTATAAACAAAAAAAGCTTTTAAAGATAACAATTAAATTATGGTACATTTATATATCAGTTATCAACTTTACTGATCATTCAACCCAATTTCTCTGTCTAATTAAGTCTTAAGACTTAGCAAAAAATATATTTAATAATTAAATACTATAATTGTTACTTGATCTTCATCTTATTCCGCATTTGTCTAGTTGCTTATCAATCTAAAAATTTTTTATAGTCAAAAAAAAAAAATTTTTGCTTTACTTTTAATTTTTTCACAGAAAAATAGAGTTTGTAAACTAAAAAGCAAAAAAAAAGAGAGTGCATTTATATAGGTAAATTCAAACATTTTGTTCTATGCTTTTTCTAAACTATGGTTACTATGGTTTTTAATCTGGTCGAATGACTATCTAAGTAAAAAAAAAAGATGTGACTAGCTAAGAATAAATCTTTTTTTTTTTTTCTGTTAGAGTACAATAAGAAGTTAAATATAGCAGAAGAAAAGAGAAGAAGAAGACAAATATAGAATTTAAACGTTTAATTTAAGCTTCATTTTTTTCATCAATAAATAAAAATTTTAGTGGTAGTCCTTATATGCAAAATATAAATTATAGAAAAGTAAAATTTAAATAGATTGTAGAACTGATAATTTTGATGATCACTTAATTTGCAACTTAATGTTTTACTTTTTTTAATACTGCAACAGTTCTTTTTTCTTGCTTTTTATGCAATATGACAAAAATGAAATAAAAGAAGTTATCCAATAATTGTTCAAAATATTAAGATAAGTTTAGAAGTAAAAAAAAAATTTGACAAGATGTCATTTATAAAAATAAAAAGTATTAGTATATTAGTAAGTTTAGTCTTACTTGGATCTTGACTGGGTACAAAACCAGGTGGTGCACAACCGAACACTTCCACAATTATAGTAATCGAAAACAGATAGTATAGTTTCATGGATACGATCAAACAGTTGTTTCGTGTAAAACAAAAAACAGCCGGGAACACAGTTGTTCAATAACCGAGAAAACTGTTTTTTCTCTTTTGTTAAGCAGATACCAAAAGCTGTAACTTCTTCACCTATAAAATTTGGCAAAAAAAAAAATGCAAAAGAAAAAAGTGGATAAAAGTTAACTGAAGTTTTTTTTGTTTTTCTTCTCTCTGAACAAAAAATACAGAAAAATTATCTGTCGCAAAACTGCAAAAATTACAAAATAAAAAAAAAAAAGAAAATGAAAACAGAGCACAAAAAAAAAAAAAA